GTCAGGCATAGTAACCATGGGCGTCTACGACAGCTTCTGGTTGAATTGTTGAACCACAAGCCCGAACTCCTCCTATGCCTGAAGCTCTGGTTCTCAATCCAGTTAATGCAATAACAGATTCTTCCAAGCCATTGAAAATATGCACTTTGTTAGGTCCACCAACTGTTGCGCTTGCTTCTGCCTTCGGCCGCGCTTAGGGATTAGGTGCGTTCGTTTAAAATCTCCAGTTAAAACCAACCAACTGCCAAATTCCGGTGGAATGTCATCTGTTCTCTCACAAGAGAGAAATATCCAAAACAGTACGCGAACAGAAAATTTGCAGACTCTTGCAAGTTAGACGAACAGCTGATATAATTTTTGTTTACATTCAAAAGTGTAAAATTTAAAACGTACGAAAAGTCATCACAAAGAGCTATACTGACACAGTTTATTGATTAAACAAATAACTACTTATTTCTTACAAGTTTAATTAGTCGCATTTTGTAATTTTTAACTTCCAAACCATCAAATTCAATTTTGTGATTTGCGTTAATGGCAACCAGCTGTTTTTGATCAGCTGTTTTCCTGTTGGCAAAAATTTTTCCAGCAGAAACCAGCAGCTCGCCTCAAATTGAAATGTCACTTTGCTCTCTAAATTTCCCCTACTTTGCAAGTTTTTTGCGTACGCGAACGCAAAAACTTGTAAGTTTTGGTTAAACATGAACAATTAACAGCTATGCGAACGCAACTATTATAACCCTTACTAAGAAGAATCCTCCTTTCTGTGTTGCGAGGAAGAGGGGCTTCCGCATGTCAAAGGTATACAGCATTTCTTGTGCATATCACTCCGGCTACGCCGTCCACAGTATTTTTGCGCAGAACCCACGTCGAAATTTGCAAAAAAGTGCATAGGGCAAACCGAGTTTATTAATAAGCTAGTGGTAGGAAATTTGAAACATTTATCTTAAATAAAATGTGAATTCTTTGATTACACGTGTATGTTAAAGTTTTTGGATTCGGGTTATGCGTTTGGACACAACAGCCGAAAATCGTTGTACATTAACTAAACCGGACCCAAGTTTCTCGATAAGGGGCATCAAATACTCTTTTTGCTCGTTTATATAAAGCAGTGGATAAAAATATACGTATATGCGAAAGGCAAATTTATCTGATTAAATGAACACCACCAATATTTCTTGCAAACACACATCGATTTACATCTTTTATTTCGCCTCAGACACAGAATTGTTTTCGTACAAAATTACGCAAAAAAGCTTACTCGTTCGTTTTTAGGCATGCCATTGTTACGAATTTCGAAAGCTCGAAAATACGATTCGGATTGCAGCATACTATTTCTACGATTCATAGCAAAATCCGAATACGAAAGAGTTGCAGACTAGGGGTGATTATNAGTTTTTTGCGTACGCGAACGCAAAAACTTGTAAGTTTTGGTTAAACATGAACAATTAACAGCTATGCGAACGCAACTATTATAACCCTTACTAAGAAGAATCCTCCTTTCTGTGTTGCGAGGAAGAGGGGCTTCCGCATGTCAAAGGTATACAGCATTTCTTGTGCATATCACTCCGGCTACGCCGTCCACAGTATTTTTGCGCAGAACCCACGTCGAAATTTGCAAAAAAGTGCATAGGGCAAACCGAGTTTATTAATAAGCTAGTGGTAGGAAATTTGAAACATTTATCTTAAATAAAATGTGAATTCTTTGATTACACGTGTATGTTAAAGTTTTTGGATTCGGGTTATGCGTTTGGACACAACAGCCGAAAATCGTTGTACATTAACTAAACCGGACCCAAGTTTCTCGATAAGGGGCATCAAATACTCTTTTTGCTCGTTTATATAAAGCAGTGGATAAAAATATACGTATATGCGAAAGGCAAATTTATCTGATTAAATGAACACCACCAATATTTCTTGCAAACACACATCGATTTACATCTTTTATTTCGCCTCAGACACAGAATTGTTTTCGTACAAAATTACGCAAAAAAGCTTACTCGTTCGTTTTTAGGCATGCCATTGTTACGAATTTCGAAAGCTCGAAAATACGATTCGGATTGCAGCATACTATTTCTACGATTCATAGCAAAATCCGAATACGAAAGAGTTGCAGACTAGGGGTGATTATTTAATGTTAATTAGTTTAGAGTTTATGAAGGATTTGCTTTAGTAAAATTTTGTCGTAAGCGTCATTTCTCCACAATTTGGGAGCCACTTTGTATGAAATACGACAAAATGTGATCAAAATTTCTACTAAATTAACGACACTTTTTGCTCAATATCTCGGAAAGGAGATATCCAAAAATGGAGAACGCCATGTTTAAGATATTGATTAGTTTAATGTGACTCCATTACTTTATAAATTATCGAAAAAATTGTAGTAAATATCTAGAAAACTAAAGAATATATCTAAAGACTGATAACACCAATCGGAAGATCTTATTTCAAAATATTTAACTGCATCTAAAACTAAAAATTGTCAAAATTGCGCTTACGACAATCTTTTACCCAGGCGACGATATGACGAAAGTTTGATGTATCGAATTAGCGTTGCCTTTTTGCTTTTTGCAAAATTTACACTTTTTTTCTGCCTGTTGAAATGTTAAAATTTTCTTCGTTTTGCTAAATTGTTTGATTAAAAATGTCAGAATGGATAATTTTCTTCAAAAATTCACAGCCAGAGTCAGAGCCAGAGTTACCATTTCAATAAAAGTTTCAATTATGTTTAAGGAAGACTATCATTCAGATCCCGTGTAAAGTTCCAGGAAATGTTGCTTTACGCAACTCCCGATCCACGCTCGTCGTATTTTCAAATTTTCGTGTGTACTGCCATGACATCACTTCTCATAAAAACCATTGCTGTTCGGAGGTGACCTAGACCTAGGTCCCTTTATTTGCGTGACAAGATAACATGATAGCAAACTCGTTTCATGCGTGCATGAGCATGAGCTTTAGATTGCCTTAGCTTACTTGTTTCCTTTTTATTTCTATAATTAATTTACCAAGCTTGGGAAGAAACAAGCATTTTTCGGGGCAATGTTTGCTTATTTGTACAACGATTTGGGGTAAGGACGAAGGGGGAAGGGCCATGCCCCCACAAACCTCCCTTAAACGAAATACGCTGGACGCCGCTTTATAAAGTCACTAATTTTTCGTTTTATTATTTGCATAAATGCAAAATACCTACAATTCTCAAATTAAAAAAAAAAATCATATTGGGATCGATAGAGATCATTGAGGTGAGAGTATACCGCACTTTTTTTTTTAAGGGAAACAGCAACTACAACAATTATTAAAGGTCGAAGTTCAAATTAAGCATTTTTTAAATCAATATTTCTCGAAAACGAGAGAACACCTTTTTGCGTAGGCCGCACTTATGCATTGTAAACGGTATATCGTAGATATTTTTGTGAAACCGCCCATCGACCAGTTGCAAAACCGCCTATCTTTCGGCACTCAAATTTTACAGGAGAGCGAAAAAACGATTTTTCTTTGAAGGCATTGCCTTGATAGGCGGCATTTTCTCTAGCTATTATTTTACAAATCTTTTGTTTTAATAACGATTTATGATTTTTATGAATAAATCTCGATGCCTGGAGTTCAGGGTTACCAAATCGCATTTTTGTCACAATGGCGATTTAGGCGGTTTTGCAACTGGTCGATGGGCGGTTTTGCAAAAACATCGACGATATCTATAAATATGTATATCAGATTAAACAGAATTAAGCTCTCTAGTGAATGACATCAACATTTTTAAAATTCATGAAAAAGTTTTCGAGAAATACTGATTTAATCTATCGATCCCCATATGAATTTTTTTAATTTGAGAATTATAGGTATTCTGCATTTGCTCCTTTTTTTTTAAGATTTTGGTAAATTTTATTTTCGGGGGCGTCAGTACTGTATCGAATCCGTGTGGGGTACCGAAAAGTACCGAAATTGTATTTTAGTATTGGATTTGGTACCGACAATTCTGCCCATCACTACATGAACCAAAAATACAAGATCACGAAAGAACGCGACGTTGTATTTGTAACTGGTTTTGAGAAAAAAGTTTGCGAAAGCGGGTTCGTCAGCTGAGCGTTTGTTTACATCACAAGCACCACTATTTTACACTGTTATTCAAGTAAAGAAGAGTTAGTTCAACATGACGTCACATTTTAAAACATTTTGTTGCATCATTTTACCTAAATTGTGCGTTTAAAGTGGCTGACAATAATTTTGGCTAATTTTGGTTTTCGTTGTTTTCTTTGCTTTGCTTACTTTTCGCTCGTTTTCCAGTGAAACAAGATGGCGTAGAACCCACGATTGAGAGAAATAGAGATTGCGCCAATCGCGGTACCTCTAATCTGCTCTTTGTGATTTTGACAGAATGAGCTGTGTGCGTGACGTCATCATGGTGCAATTGTTGAATGTGAGCATACGAAAAAACCAAATAACAATTTTTATATTTGTGCGTTAATATTTGGGCGTGGTTTTAAACAATTATTGAGACATTAAAAAGCAAAATGAAGTGCGCAGTGGCAAAGTGTAATAGTGAAAACCGAAGGAAAGCGTGCTATATAAGTTTTTTTTTCGTTTCCTACGGACGCAAACCTGGCGAAAAACTGGAAGCAGTTCTGCCGGCGAGGAGATGCATTAAACACCAAATCGAGCTATGTGTGCATGCAGCACTTTACTAGTGAATATATTGAAAATAATATTTTTAGTGCTGGTATGAGGTATGCGCCAGTGGATAAGGTCGCCAGGCGCTAATTCAAGCGGCATCTTACCGCGCTGTTACGTGCCTAATACAAAACAGTGCCAAAATTATTATACATTTAAAAGTTCAGCTTAAATTAAGTTCTACTGACATAGAATATTTGCTTCCAAAAAAGTCACACTCATGCATCCTCTCGGAAATGGTACAAAAGTCATCAAATAAAAGCTGTGGAGTCAACAGCTGTGGAGTTCAAGAATGATAGAATACAAGATTGCGCCAATCGAGCTGAGAGCAACTGGCCGTGACGTCCGAAAATACCAGAATGAGAGAGCAAAGACGAATTCAATAAGAAAAAGAAGAAGAATCGAACAGCTGGGGCGAAATTGAAAGGTTTGTTTACAAAGTGCATAATAAATCGCGGATTTACGGAATTATTTAATTTTAAATGGTAAATTGGTTGTTTAAAAGTAAAGAATGTGTACTTATTAAATGCAGTGCAAATCGCTGAAAGTGTTAAATCACTGCAATCATTATAATGATTTGCATTTTTTCAGTAATTGAACAAATACCAGCGGGCAGCCAGCGGGTCAGTTGCTGGTAACAATTTGCAGAACGATTCCACGGTGATCGTTGCATCGTCGTCAGTTAGTGAAATCAGTAATGAAGCTTTTAAAATAAAGGAAAACCTCCTACTCCGCTATACATATAATTACTTTCATTATTTAGCTACTTTTCCGGCAGCCGCAACAAACGCTGGCCCAAGCCTGCAAATTGTTGCCAGCAACTGGAACGCTGGCTGCCCACTGGCATTTGTTCAACTACTTAAAAATTCACTTTGTATACAAACCTTCACACACATCAAACCACATCAAGCGGCTCATCTGGATGAAATGAAAAGGCTGTTAGATGTAATGCAGCAACGTGCTCCCGATGTTGAACATCAGTTCAAAGAAAAGCCAAATGAGTTGGAAATGTCGGATAAGGCCAATGTAAACCAAGGCGGCAATCGTATAGAGACCTTGACGTAGACGCAATTTATGTACGAGGAACAGATTAGAGACTTACAAGTAAGTTAGAAGTAGAAGTGCATTTGAAGATGTTTACATTATTATGTTTACGCATTTCTTACAGTCCATGGTGCAGGAATTTATGATGGTCACAAAATATATTGGCAAAAACATAGCAAGTGCATATGCCAAGTTGGAAAAATTGACAATGCGTGAGTATAAAATGAAAAGGTGTTCTTAATTATAAATATTACTTTACCTTTTCTTTTGCAGTGGCCAAAAAGATGAGTCTTTTTGATGATCGACCGCAAGAGATTCATGAATTGACCTACATCATGGTGTATGCGTTACAATCTAAATTAGCCAGCATGGGCACCGACTTCAAACCGTTGTATACTGTCGTACTGTTGTATATCAGAAACTTTAAACGTCTAAAGCTATATATAAGGAATTCGCAAGCTAACATAAAAGTTTTATTATGAAATTTCACACAATTAAAAAATAGTTGGTGGTGATTTATGCAACCTCACAAACGCGGTTTTTCATTATCATGATACGCGGTTTTGCATTTTGTTGATACGCGGTTTTGTACTTTAAACGACGACTTGCAAAGGGCGCTATGTAAAATTTGTTCGATTTTTAGTTTTTGATGGATTACGTACCATTATTTAAAGTAGTTTCATGTCCAGTAACAACAGAGTGCAAAATCTTTTTATATTAGCATCAAATGTTAAGTCTTCTTCCAAAAGTCGCTATCATACTTATTTATAAACTTTCAAAAGTATCTATCTTCTGATGAACTTAGAGAACTGCTTTAGGTCGTATAGACTGTTAATGTTATCTTATGACATGTTATGTTACGTTACAATTTTATAAGGCTCTTTTTTATCCAAATTTTTAGGTAATAAAAAAGATTAAATTTAAATGTTACTTGTTGTCGTAATCGTTTTTTCAAATTTATGGCTTTCTATTTTAACATCACATAACGCTGTTTGCAAGTGGACTACTCATATGTACATTTCTTATTCGTTATCACGACAGTCAAAAATTGATCTCTTTGTTAATTTTTTGCGGCCCTGAAAAGGGCCTTTTGTGTATATATGGTATTGTGTATGTAGACCCAGATAAGCTTATATAAAGCATTTGATCCCTTTGTAAATTCTTTGCGGCCCTGAAAAGGGCCCTTTATGTATACAAACACTTGTACACTTGCTGCTGGGCTTCCTTGTCAGGATCTGGCATTTCCGCAGCAGGCTTGAAAATTGTCGGCACAACGCCCCGCTTTAGTTTACGCTTTTTAGCGTAGCCTAACATAATTTAAAACATTTCTTTTAATAAAAAGCAGTATTAATGAAAAGTGAAAAATATAAGCTTCCGGGGGGTTTCATATTTACGATGAGCGCGGCTACCTTTCGTGAAATTTACTCCTGAGTCACACCATCCTCACGAAATCCAATAAGCGTTTATTGGCGAATTAAATAGTACAACTTACCCATTTTATATTGAAGCTCGTTCTCGAAGTCATCAGTGGTGAAGTGTTTTACACAGATGACGCTGGTTCGGGCGTTGAAAATCGTTGGTCTCCGGCAGAAGTGGATCCACTTTTCCACCAACTCAATGTCGGCCGGAAAAGTAAAAAAAGCGCACCCAGATCCTTTGGCACTTACACTAGCACAATTAACCACTGCACACCTCATTTTTTTCTTTAATTTATAACTTTTTTTATCAGTTTTCACAAAAAACAAAACAACGCTCAGTCTTCCGAATTTGTAAATTTGTAAAGTTGAAATAACCTAAAACGTCACGAACCAGAAAATGTAAACAAAAGAATTGTGTGACGTCAGCGAATGGGTGGATGCTGTCAAATCGACGAAGAGAGGGTTAGCGGTCCGCGAATGGCGCGACCTTTATTTTCTGGATCGTGTGTGGAGTTTATGGTGGTTGGCTACCGTCCACAAATATAAATATGCACTCTGCATGGCTTTTTAAAATGGCAGGTCCAAAAATTCACTTTGCTGCACACCTTCCTTTTGGTCTACATGAAATTGCAAACACTTAATACATTCATTTTTTTCATGTGCTAAAAATCGTACTTATCTAAAGAGCTACATGTCCAAAATTATTGCTACGTATTCCTAATTAATCAATCTTTGTATATTTATTGATTCCTGCAAAATTGGGCCATGTAGTTTTAAAATTAACACATTTTTCTGCATTGTTTACATATTTTTATATGCGTTTTGGCATTTCTCTCTCGCAATTGCGCCAAGATGACGTCACGCAAAAATCCTCTCTCATTGGCGCAATCTTGTATTCTATCATTCTTGCGTAGAACCCATGAACGAAAGACACAAGATCACGTAAGAACAAGAGAGTGTAAAAAGTCGATTTTTTTAGCGGGTTCTACGCCATCTTGTTTCACTGGAAAACGAGCGAAAAGTAAACAAAGCAAAGAAAACAACGAAAACCAAAATTAGCCAAAATTATTGTCAGCCACTTTAAATGCACAATTTAGGTAAAATGATGCAACAAAATGTTTAAAATGTGATGTCATGTTGAACTAACTCTTCTTTACTTGAATAAAAGTGTAAAATAGTGGTGCTTGTGATGTAAACAAACGCTCAGCTCATGATTCAATAATACAAGGTTCGATAAACTGACAGTTGTCTCTCTCGCACCGCTCCCTTAGCAGTGGCACCGTGTTGCTTCTTTGCAAATTTACATGGAAACAGTGTAGCTTTGGTGTGAAATAAAAGTATAAGCTTTTGTGCAATATGTTTANTTATTTGTATATGCATATGAAGCATATTTAACTGATGAAAACATAAGCATTGGATGTTTACATCAGTCTCGTAGTAGTCTTATTTAAATTTTGAGTCATTTTGCAGTTTTTATACATCTCAATAGCATATAAATCACGTAATTCACGTAGATATATCAATATTACGTTCAACATTTCGCTTAAAATGCCAGATTTCCTGCAAATACATTAGAATTTACGAAAGGAATTTCACTACTAATTGCCTACTTTGCGTACTTTTCTACTACCATTTTCGAAACAGGGGATTGCATTCTTGCCCTTCTCTGTCCTTCGTAAATGCAACCTTTTGTAAGGGCGTGTCAAACCGCAGCTGTCAATAATTACATGAACGAAGACACAAGATCACGTAAGAAGAAGAGAGTGAAAAAAGTCGATTTTTTTAGCGGGTTCTACGCCATCTTGTTTCACTGGAAAACGAGCGAAAAGTAAACAAAGCAAAGAAAACAACGAAAACCAAAATTAGCCAAAATTATTGTCAGTCACTTTAAACGCACAATTTAGGTAAAATGATGCAACAAAATGCTTTAAAATGTGTTGTCATGTTGAATTAACTCTTCTTTACTTGAATAAAAGTGTAAAATAGTGGTGCTTGTGATGTAAACAAACGCTCAGCTGACGAACCCGCTTTCGCAAACTTTTTTCTCAAAACCAGTTACAAATACAACGTCGCGTTCTTACGTGATCTTGTATTTTAGGTTCATGAATAATTATCTAACTTTTTATTATTGAATCATGCGCTCAGCTCACGAACCCGCTTTCGCAAACTTTTTTCTCAAAACCAGTTACAAATACAACGTCGCGTTCTTACGTGATCTTGTGTCTTTCGTTCATGCCATCACTACAGTTTACACATTTCAGAACGTTTCCTTCTTGCCGATTCTTTTATAACGCTTCCTATGAAAATTGCGCGTTTGCGAGGTGCATAATTGACATTTTGTAGAGAAATCTCTGCATTGTTCATTAAAAAGTGTTTTATTTTAGCAAAAATTATTGACATACCTATGTTGGAGTTTGTTCGAACTTATATTCAGAAATTGTAATGCGATAAGCAAGATTTACATATTTAGTAGTGCTCTTGAAGTGTTTTCAGTGCTTTCGTTTTTCCTCTACGCTTTGTTCCGATATTCTCCATTTTCATCTTGGTAGGAGCTTTCGCATTTTTTTGTTTATTGTATTAAATAAACTCTGGTGCTTTACTGCATTACATGCAACGATTTAAGATGGCAGAAACATGAGAATACAAAGCATTTAAAGGGAATTTGATAAAAATTGTAAGGTGATTTTTTCAATCATTTTTTCCAATAAATTTTACATAGTAACTTTTTTGCCATACAATTTAGAAACTTTTCGATGGCGAGTTCAGTGTTCGTTGAAANGATAAAAATTGTAAGGTGATTTTTTCAATCATTTTTTCCAATAAATTTTATATAGTAACTTTTTTGCCATACAATTTAGAAACTTTTCGATGGCGAGTTCAGTGTTCGTTGAACGTTGCACCAAGCCCTTAAAGGGTGGTGTTGGCTCTGAAAATGAAGTTGCTGTTTCAGAATGCCCTGATTCCAATTTGGTTGTGGTCTATGGAAAAAAAGGAGTGAACTTTGATCATCGAGGAATAGAGAATCTCATTGGTAAATTATTATCCTAAAATGTTTCCTTTAAAAATATTTTTTTTTTTCAGAGGAAAAAACACTCTCCTCGATAAGTGTTATACGTTTAACGTCTCCAACGCCGAGTATGATAGAAGAAGAAAAAGAGGCAGAAAGATCAGAAGAATTTCTTCGTAGACAAGCTGAAGGTTTATCTGACATTGAATCAAACGATAGTAGTGATAAAAATAGCTCTAGCGATGATGAGGTCGCATATTACACCGGAAGTGAAGAGATTCATACAGCTGATGATGAAAAGAGTGATGTTAATGACGAAAATTCCGCTGACAACGGTAAATTCGAAACTCGAAAGAAGAAACGAAAGAATAGATGTAAGATGCACACTAAAGGTAAAATACTTAACATTCAAAGTAAATTGCCCAAAGAGCGTCCTGATATTATTGGGTTGACAGTAGAAGAGTTTTATCCGCCTGTATCCGCAAAGGAAGTAGTGAAAGAAGCGCTAAGTAATATTTGTTCTATAGTGGCCAATTTTCATCTTTGATTAATACGTAATTCTTTTTAGAGTTGGCAGGGGTTTCAACATTCAAACGTACCGCAGATTATGAGTTCCAGTTATTTGTAATTAAAAATGATCACTGCTACACTCCGTACACTTCACCTGCACAAATGAAAGCAAAACTAGCCGAAAAATATAAGGCAGAAAAGCATGCAGTAATCGGACGAAAAATAATTCCTCACACTGCGATAACTATGAAGCAATTACAATTGAAAAATAAAGTTTTTCAAGGTGCTAATGACTTTGTTGAACTACCGAATTTGCAATCAGTTAAAGACCAAAATATTAAATTAAATAAGATACTTGTCACCTCTCAGAAACAAGAAAACATAGATGGACATACAAAAGGTGATACAGAACAACTCAGTTCAGAAACAGAAACAGACTTTGATATACTAAGTGAGGAGTCTGGAAATACCGACAATGATCGCGATAGCGACTTGGACTTCAACGTCACTAACAGGAAGGGTACGAAGAAAAAAGAACTTGTTAATAAAGCAAAACGCCTGTCAGCTGGAAAAGTATATGTTAAACGTCTTTTACAATCTCATGATGAAGGGGATGAATCCCGAAATAACATACGGCCAGTTACCAGCAACGTTTTTAACCGTCCGAATAAGATTGTATCACCTGTTAAAATAGCGGGTTGTACACCTATAGGAGTCAAACAACTGCTTTCAGATGCTGTTGCAGCTCTACCACCAATTCCAAAACGCTCCACAACGGCACAAATAGACGAAAAGGCAATCAACCCAGTTACAAGGCCACAACCAATACCAAGTGGTATACGCAGAGGGCCCATTATAGAAGTGAGTGGGCAAAAAACAACAAGCGTTCGCTCTCAGCTGCAAGGATCGCCGCATACGGTGAAAGAAATTGTTATTAATAAGGTAATGTAAAGTAGTGCATGTAAAATAGTATCTTAACACTTCATGTTGCAGGTTATGGCTAGTCCAAAGGGCGGATTTACGGAAATAGGACAGTTACTATCTCAAAAAGAAAAGCTAACTCCAACCACTCCGACAAGTAGCACTCCAACATCCCCGACAAGTAGCACTAAGAATTTAGGCAACCATTTAATGGTTGCTCAGTCGTCCTCAAGAGGATTTATGCCTCTGGGTGTTGAAACTGCTGTTCAAAATAAATTACCTGCTCAAATTTCAATTCAAACTCACCAAAGCACATCTGAATTGGCTGCAAAAACTAAGGTTTCGATGGAGTTGAAATCATCTGTTCAGCCGGTTATTGTTCAATCAAATGTATCTACCATACACTGTTCACAAAAGGAACAAATGTCTTCGGAACTGGCTGCAGAGCAATTTGATCTCATCGTTTCAATTGTAAAAGACGAAATGCAGAAATCCGCCATGATAGAATCATCAAATTCAAAAGAAAACATACCTAAGTTGGTGCAGATGTTAGAAAAAGTCGAACATAACTTGGATTCAAAGACCATACAATCTAACAAGGAAAAAAATCAAACAAATTTCGGATCTACTGAAACTACCGTAGATGATATTGACATTGCTAGCGCGCCACTCTTAGAAACACCGGATGGCGATGAGATCCCAGATGATTTGCTTCAGCACGTTGTGGACCTTATTGAAGACGATGAAACCTTACAAGAGGCTGTTGAAAAGCAAGTGTTTGGAGGAGTTCAAAGCGAGAGAATTGCGTGTGTGGCTTCCAGTGACACAGTTAATACAAAGGTGTCATCGACGATGACAAGATCTGTTGCTCCTACCATTCAAGCGCATATTTCTGAATCAGTAAGTATCTATCTCCTAATCTCAACCTAATTAATAGCTTAAGACTCGTTTATTTTGGGTCATATGAAAATCCTCTGGATTTTGTCACTATGTGGTGTTAATGCCCAAATATCTGGCAACCCTTATTTAAATGCGTCAATCAGAACGCATTGGAAAGGTTAAATTTCTACATTTTTATTGTTTTCTTTTACGTTGCGGAAATTTGGATGCCAAAAATGCACCTCACTCTGGTCGACCAATCGATGGAAAAACTGTCAGGTACACGCTACGAAAAGAAGCTCGATATTTGGGGCGACATGAATTCACGCAGATATATGTTATTGATCATCTATAACGCTGCTCAAACAAAACGAAATCAAACGTATTTTTGAAGCGATTCATTACAGCCGGGCTTACGTAACTGGTACGACCCAGATTTATAACCTCTCTGAACTTGGCAGGACAACTTTTTCTCAAAGCAAAAATTCCTATCGCATAATTTGCCGTTAATTATCCGTAAATTATCCGTGAAAAGAATAATTTTGCCGCGGACATATTTTAAAAAATATCGAGTGCCCTGATATTCCACTTCCGTGGAAGTTAGCAGGGCACCTTCTAAAAACCAATAAAGGAAACCAGCTAAACCCAAACTAACTATCTGATAATTTGCCGTAAATTATCCGTTGTTTATCCGTGAAAAGAATTATTTTTCCGCGGACACATTTTAAAAAATATCGTGTGCCCTGCTAACTTCCGTGGAAGTTAGCAGGGCACCTTCTAAAAACCAATAAAGGAAACCAGCTAAACCCAAACTAACTATCTGATAATTTGCCGTAAATTATCCGTTGTTTATCCGTGAAAAGAATTATTTTTCCGCGGACACATTTTAAAAAATATCGTGTGCCCTGCTAACTTCCGTGGAAGTTAGCAGGGCACCTTCTGAAAACCAGGATAATTTACGGCAAATTATCAGATAGTTAGTTTGGGTTTAGCTGGTTTCCTTTATTGGTTGTCAGAAGGTGCGTGGAAGTTAGCAGGGCACGCGAAGTTTTTTGAAATATGTCCGCGGCAAATTTCCGCGGCAAAATAATTCTTTTCACGGATAAACAACGGATAATTTACGGCAAATTATCAGATAGTTAGTTTGGGTTTAGCTGGTTTCATTCATTGGTTTTCAGAAGGTGCCCTGCTAACTTCCAAAATGTGTCAGCCGCAAAATAATTATTTTCACGGATAAACAACGGATAATTTACGGCAAATTATCAGATAGTTAGTTTGGGTTTAGCTGGTTTCATTCATTGGTTTTCAGAAGGTGCCCTGCTAACTTCCACGATATTTTTTAAAATATGTCCGCGGCAAAATATTCTTTTCACGGATAATTTACGGATAGTTAACGGCAAATTATGCGATAGGAATTTTTGCTTTGAGAAAAAGTTGTCCTGCCAAGTTCAGAGAGGTAGATTTATATCTGGCCAAGGACTGTCCCCAACAACAATCATCATTTCTTTGATGTCCCGGAACAAATTTCCGGAGCTTGGTTTGGAAGTTTTAATGCAGCCCTGACCTTTCACCGCCTAACTTCCACAATTGGTCAAGTTTTTCAACGATAAGCCACAGAAGTTTTGAATCTAATCGAAAAATTCTAATAGATTGTAATGGTCACTATGTCGTTGATTAATATTGATTTTCAAGATTTTTTTAATTTACCTAAAAATCCTCCAGACGTTTTATATGACCCAATATCAATATATTTCTTTTCCCTAATATGAGTTCATTTCCCCACAGGATTCGGGCCAACCAAAAAGCATTATTGAAATGGCCATATCTAACTTACCATCTACCTCGACTGTAGCAAGCAACATCGTACCTATTCGTGTAGCTAATGTTCAAACTCCGAAGGCAACACTTGCTCCAACTGTTCGCAAAGAACCCATTCAAATTGTGCGTGGAAATGGTCGTGTTATAACTTTGCCCCCTATTGAAGCACCAACGACGCGCGCAAAGAGAAGGGCTCAAAATCAACCAGTGTCTGCCGCCAATTCAAATACAACATTTAATGAGTCGTCCATGGATAGTTCAATGCAATCGAACTACTCATTTTCCATGCTGGAGCACTTTCCTTCAGCAACAGTTGAGAAGAAAAACGAAAATAAACGTCGAGTTTCCAAAGAGTCAGTAACTGCTGGTGCTATTGTTAGCAAAGCTAAAAAGTCTGTGGCTTCTGCTAAAAAAAGCGCAGCAGTCAAGGCGAGCGCCAGTAGAACTGGACAAGAAGATGTTTCTGGTTCTCAAGAAGATGACGATGACCCGAATAGGTATATTCGATTTTGAAGATTGTAGTTACTTTCTAAAACTTCATTTTTTAGGCTTTGGTGCATATGTCGGCAGCCGCACAACAACAGATTTATGATTTGCTGTGATGTTTGTGAAGATTGGTTCCATGGTACTTGTGTGAGCATCACGAAAGCAATGGGAATAGAGATGGAACAGAAGGGCATTGATTGGACCTGTCCTAAATGTGCCAAGCTGCAGGAGGAAAAGGTTTGAATTTAGTTTGCTACAGGGTCGCTCTTTATGTATTATATCTTCTCCAGGCCTGCAAATCGTTGTATCCCTTAAATATAGTTTTAGCCGTCTAAGTTTGTCTCACACGGCCCTAAGTGCAGTTTATCAAATTTATCAAACACATTTTTTAGTACGAAATCTCTTTTTTGAGGGCAGATAAATTTTAAAAATTAATTTAAATTTAAAATTTTTAGCAAAAAAAAAACGGACTAAAAAATATATATATTAGACTGCATCACTGCAGGATGAAAGAGAAAGGTAGGATGAACGAACGTCATTCAAAGTTGAATTAAGATGTGTTGGTATTTGAAAATAAAATTGGGACACGAATGATTTTTTTTTTTGACAGAAATAAAAACAGTGTGAAAATACCTTTCTACTGAGATCCCATAAGTCTAAGTCAGAATAGTTTTGGCCCAGTTATTCAAGTTTTTCGTAAATCAATCTTTGAAAAAAGTAAAGAAAAATCAGCATAAAAAATTTCATTCTTACGATTCCGTTGAAAAGATGTTTAAATATTTTTATGCAGATTTTTTAAGCTTAATCTGTTTTGTCATCTGAGGGGCCTTTTTTCAAAAAGTTCTTTACGAAACTATTTTTATTCATAAAAAACTCAATTTTTGGAGGTATTTTCAAATCGCTCCAGCTCATTTAAATCTTAATATTTTTCCCAAATATTTTGGTGAACGTCTTCGAATACAATAAATTTTATAGTCCCGGCGGAAAAACCGCAACTTTTTTTGGTGATGCAGTCTATTATATATATGTAGGGACCAACCCTAACACTTGTCGCAGTAGTTAAGTAGCAACATCAAAAGCCGCAATAGACGAACAGAGCTGTTTGACATTCGTTTGTACTAACTGAAACCAACTTCAATTCATTCAACGTATTTTCTTGCGACGCTAACAAAGTCAGAATTTTCCGTGTATAAAAGCAATTTGTATTTGTTTAATTTCTAAGTTAATAAAGACATATAGAAGTAGCGATTCTATATATATACAGCGTGGCGACGAATAACTGTTACCCAGGTTTTTTTGAGAAATAAAAGGGTCCTTTAAAGATTTTGCGAAAAAAGTATTTTATTGATAATTTTCCACAGATTTTACTTTAGTTGCATTAATTAGTTTTTAAATTTTAATCCTTATTTACATTTGCCAGCAGTGTAAACTTTGAGAGAAAAGTTCATTTGGCACGCAAGTCTTTTTCAGGTGTATTTTTTCTTAGGCTTTGTATAAAAAAAGTACAAAAAAGAAAAAAACTGTATAAGGTTGGTCGAATGAATGACCGTCCTAGTCACCAGTTCCAAGTCTATTCGATTTTTGAGTATGAGGCCTTAGGTTGGATAGAAGGGGGAGTATAAGGGAATGGAGAAAATTAGCCTATGGTTACAGAAGATATGGAATAAATTAACTGACGAAGACCTGCGTGCCAAATGAACTTTCCTCTCAAAGTTTACACTGCTGGCAAATGTAAATAAGGATTAAAATTTAAAAACTAATTAATGCAACTAAAGTAAAATCTGTGGAAAATTATCAATAAAATACTTTTTTCGCAAAATCTTTAAAAGACCCTTTTATTTCTGAAAAAAACCTGGGTAACAGTTATTCGTCGCCACGCTGTATAGCATTTTCAGTTTAAATGAAACCATTTTCAAGTTAAGCGAAACCTTTTTCAAATTAAATGAAACCTTTTTCATGTTAAGCGAAACCTTTTTCAAATTAAATGAAACCCTTTTCAGATTCAGTGAAACTTTATTCAAATTAAATGAGACCTTTTTCAGATTCAATGAATCTTTATTCAAATTAAATTAAACTTTTTTCAAATTAAATGAAACTTTATTCAAATGAAATGAAACTTCTTTTTTGGATTACTTTGAATTAGCTGTTACGTGTTGCTCTCCCTTAATGGTCTGATTATGGCAACTTAACGTAACCTCCCTGCAAGAACAGTGACCATCATTTGACAAATCATTTGACTGGCAAGGCTGATAGAGATTTCTGTCACTGGCTACCTACAAGTTTCTATCACATTCTAAAGGGCAGTGTGAAAAATCTGATGTAAACATTTGTGTACATATGATCTTGCGTCTTCCTCCAACTTATGGCCTTATATATTGGTCTCTTTTTAACCAACGCAAAATTTGCAAATGTGTTAGTAAGATAAATGAGAATGTGTTAGTTTCCATCACACAATTCTTGTAGGGCTACGGCTCTTTCTTCAAAATTCTGTTAAATGGGTGTTGCTAATAATTGAACAGCCGAAACTTAACGCAACTTAATGCCACGTCGAAATCTGTTTCATTTTGATTCTCTAAGTTCTAAGTTCTACGTTCCGTTAAATTAAGTTAAATTGCCATAATCAGGCTTTTACGGTCAAGGCATGTTGAATACAGTGTTGCTGTTTCGGTCCAATTGGACCAAAATTGGTAGTTTCATTTCTTAAAATAAGGCTTTGGTAGGTTGGTTGGTTTGTTGTGATTTTCGAGGGGTTTTGGTAACTAGGCTCATATAATTTATTCACTTTATAAAACTTCAAATGTCTCTGTTTTCGGGAGTACATGTAAAGGACGATGTGAAAAGGAAAACAGAAATGGGACATGCCAAAATTATTCTTCAACCGAAGTTGAATGTTGCCGTGATTAGACTATGCTCTAATCCATAGAGTTAGTTTAAGTTAGAAGAAAATAATTAGACAATTGTTGTGCAAATGCCAAATTTTACACTTCGCTTAAGCGAGTGAGTGAGAAGGGAGAGTTTTTACACTTTATTTCCCTCTTCTCCCTTAAGAAAATAATAGTTGACAGCTTCGGATTCGGGTTCAGAGATACCCATGAATCGGTTTTTGTACCGGTTAGGTTTTCCTAAGTGGTTCGAACCAATGAACCGTTCCACATACATTTTAGGAGTGGTTTGCAGCCCTAACTGTATCTGATCACAATAATGTTATGAATTAAGACAAATACATTTTTTGTTTAACGGTTATATTTTATATACCTATTTTTTTAGAAACAAAGAAAAATTACTGACATGCTGGTTCCTAAGAAGGTTTCATCTAATGTCACCAGTGTTAAACACGAACAATTGGAGCTTGGAATCAAAGGTTTGGATGCTGTACCTGCCATTACTCCTTCATCTGTCGAAGCAAACTTGTTTGAAAATCCAATTCGGTTGGAAACAAAAGATGCAAGTGAGGAGAAGAAATCAACTGATCAAGTAATAAATATAAAAGCGTCATTGAAAAAATCGATAGGCACAACAAAAGCAGTCACCCCCACATTGAAGAACAGTTCACAGGCAGCGAATTCGAGACAGAAGATGTTGAATCCATCCGTCTCTCAAAATAAGCGACAAATTCCAGTTTTGCAGCACGATCTCAAGAATAAAATAGATGCTGCAAAGTCATGTTTGGCGATCACAGCTACGAAAAGCCCACAGCAAATGCCGAAGGACACCCATAAGTTTGCGCTACCGCAATCAACACAAAATGATGAACGAACCTCCTGTATTGTTTGCAAAAAAGTAGCACGCCCAAATTCAATATATTGCAGTGATGACTGTATTCGAAAGCATGCACAGAATGCTCTTAATATGTTTGCAGCTGCTTCAGCAGCTAAGTCTCCAGACCTCACTGCAGTTTCTAGCACCATTGAAGAAACCAGCGCAAAGAAGAAAAAGCAAAAAGGGCTTTTTGAGGACATCCTTTCTATGGCTGACAGAAAGCCGAAAGTTGAACGGGTAATGCAAATTTTTAAGGTATTTATACATTCCTAGGAAATGCACCTGCGAATTTAATTATCAGTTAGGTGCATATTAGTTATACAAATAATTAGCTCACAAAGTTACTCAAATATCTTAAATTTAAAATTAAAAGAAGGTGTGATGCAAAGAACATGGCATATTCTTAGTCGGGTTCTTCTGCTTCGTATCCTTAGGCTGGATGTTCCCGATTGCATTCATTCATTTTTAGGTCAGGAGTTTTATTTTATTCAATGGTGCTTCGGCGCTGTGTCGGAGTGTATAGAGGTGCGTATTACCACTCTATTAGTAAAATTTGTCTAACAGTTCGGATTTGGCATACATTTGGTAACAAAATCAAGATTCGCGTTACAAAATAAAAGAAAAGCTCGGCCCAACACATAGCAAAAGTGTAAGCGCTAAAATATTATTTTATTACTTTCGAGCTCGCCGGTCTTTCGGTTTTCCCATTATTTCTTTAATCGTATTTAGGACCGTCAATTTCTTTATATAATCCAGCCACGTAATTGTTCTTCTTCCCGTTTTTCTGAGTCCATCGATTTTACCTTGTATTAAAAGTTTCAGTACCTTATATTTCTTTCCTCTGATATGTCCTAGATATGCTTTTTTACCAGCTTTTATTAAGTTTCACCTGTGTGTAATCGAATCTTGCAATAAATTTTTAATCAACTTCCCTATTATGAATTACACTAGTTTACACGAAAAAAGTATCTCGATAANCTTTATTTCCCTCTTCTCCCTTAAGAAAATAATAGTTGACAGCTTCGGATTCGGGTTCAGAGATACCCATGAATCGGTTTTTGTACCGGTTAGGTTTTCCTAAGTGGTTCGAACCAATGAACCGTTCCACATACATTTTAGGAGTGGTTTGCAGCCCTAACTGTATCTGATCACAATAATGTTATGAATTAAGACAAATACATTTTTTGTTTAACGGTTATATTTTATATACCTATTTTTTTAGAAACAAAGAAAAATTACTGACATGCTGGTTCCTAAGAAGGTTTCATCTAATGTCACCAGTGTTAAACACGAACAATTGGAGCTTGGAATCAAAGGTTTGGATGCTGTACCTGCCATTACTCCTTCATCTGTCGAAGCAAACTTGTTTGAAAATCCAATTCGGTTGGAAACAAAAGATGCAAGTGAGGAGAAGAAATCAACTGATCAAGTAATAAATATAAAAGCGTCATTGAAAAAATCGATAGGCACAACAAAAGCAGTCACCCCCACATTGAAGAACAGTTCACAGGCAGCGAATTCGAGACAGAAGATGTTGAATCCATCCGTCTCTCAAAATAAGCGACAAATTCCAGTTTTGCAGCACGATCTCAAGAATAAAATAGATGCTGCAAAGTCATGTTTGGCGATCACAGCTACGAAAAGCCCACAGCAAATGCCGAAGGACACCCATAAGTTTGCGCTACCGCAATCAACACAAAATGATGAACGAACCTCCTGTATTGTTTGCAAAAAAGTAGCACGCCCAAATTCAATATATTGCAGTGATGACTGTATTCGAAAGCATGCACAGAATGCTCTTAATATGTTTGCAGCTGCTTCAGCAGCTAAGTCTCCAGACCTCACTGCAGTTTCTAGCACCATTGAAGAAACCAGCGCAAAGAAGAAAAAGCAAAAAGGGCTTTTTGAGGACATCCTTTCTATGGCTGACAGAAAGCCGAAAGTTGAACGGGTAATGCAAATTTTTAAGGTATTTATACATTCCTAGGAAATGCACCTGCGAATTTAATTATCAGTTAGGTGCATATTAGTTATACAAATAATTAGCTCACAAAGTTACTCAAATATCTTAAATTTAAAATTAAAAGAAGGTGTGATGCAAAGAACATGGCATATTCTTAGTCGGGTTCTTCTGCTTCGTATCCTTAGGCTGGATGTTCCCGATTGCATTCATTCATTTTTAGGTCAGGAGTTTTATTTTATTCAATGGTGCTTCGGCGCTGTGTCGGAGTGTATAGAGGTGCGTATTACCACTCTATTAGTAAAATTTGTCTAACAGTTCGGATTTGGCATACATTTGGTAACAAAATCAAGATTCGCGTTACAAAATAAAAGAAAAGCTCGGCCCAACACATAGCAAAAGTGTAAGCGCTAAAATATTATTTTATTACTTTCGAGCTCGCCGGTCTTTCGGTTTTCCCATTATTTCTTTAATCGTATTTAGGACCGTCAATTTCTTTATATAATCCAGCCACGTAATTGTTCTTCTTCCCGTTTTTCTGAGTCCATCGATTTTACCTTGTATTAAAAGTTTCAGTACCTTATATTTCTTTCCTCTGATATGTCCTAGATATGCTTTTTTACCAGCTTTTATTAAGTTTCACCTGTGTGTAATCGAATCTTGCAATAAATTTTTAATCAACTTCCCTATTATGAATTACACTAGTTTACACGAAAAAAGTATCTCGATAAAAAGTGCTTTCTAGCTTAATTTGTGGTCGCTGAAAACGAAAATGACACTCATTTATTTTTCTCAAGAAGCGTTTTTGCGATTTTTGCAGAAAACCTGTTTTTCGTGTCTTATTCCAGTCTTTCACAAACAATGATATACATTTTTAGAAAGGTACATACCTCTTCTTTACAGCAATATGCCATTATTGGTAATCTAGTGATTATTACTTCCACAGCAGCCATTCAAAGTTAAAAAATTTTAATTTTTTGAGCTTTTTTGGAAATGAATGAGGTTTACTGACTTTTTCATAAGATACAAATTTTTAACGTAGATATATATGATAACAATTTTAAGATAATTCTGTCACATAAAATTTAAGCTAAATATTGCTTCGATCGAAGAAGAAATGTAGAAGTTATGACAAGCAATTCGAGGTTTTTAACATTTTCACACTTCAGGTCGAAAATATGATTTTTCTGTCAAACTTCTTCGTTTGTGTTCCATTCTGTCTTCTCGAAATAACATCCAACAATAGTCGCCCATCATGGCCTGATCTCAGAAACCCTCATACCGCTTTTCGATAGTAGCAATGTCCTGGTGAAATATTTCGCCTTGTTCGTCGCTCTCAGCTCCCAAATTCGGTGGAAAAAAGTCCAAATGACTATTGAGCAGGTGCATTTTCAGAGTCATTCGAGCACCTGTAATAAAATATTTTATAAATTATTAAATAGCTTTTTTTAAAAATAATTATTTTAATCCATGCAAGGTATAACCGTTGAAGATATTTAGGTATAAGTCACAAAAAGAAAATTGCATGGATTTTCACAAACATACATTTAACCTAAAAATACTTCACACTCACCAATGGCATTGAAGTTTTTCATCGAATTGTCAATTGTCGTTTTTGTTTCTGTGCGCTTAAATGCGCTTAATCGTACAAAACATGTGGCAAATACAGAGTTTGGAGTCCAATGTTTATCCGGATTCTTGGCTTGAATTCCAAAATATTGCTCATAGGCAGTTAATATGTTTGTGTTTTTTTTTCCGAGCACTTTGTTTGAATATGTACAAACCACAAATAAAGCAAAACTTATCCGGTGAGTGATTGCACATTTTGGGCTTTTTCTTTAGAGCAAAAACTTCATTCTAAAATAAGAGAGAACACAAAAGGAACAACTGTCCAACAAAAGTACGAAACGAAATCCGATGAAGTTTGTCAACTACCTAACGGGACATGAAAATTATCGGAAGTTCCATGTCGGTCAAGCTGTAACGCATTTTATCGACTGGAGATATTTCTGTTCCCCCATACAACGCTTACTTTGATTCAGCATATAAATTAACACAAAATAACCTTTTTTTTTGTGTTTTTTACCATTTTGGCAACATTCCGTGGATGTGGATTCAACCCCAGCCCTGCTTCATAATTTATTTCTGTGTAGGTGTAAAAATGGGAAATTTGAATGTCAGAAGCTGAATATGCATCATTTTGCAAAATACGTTATAACTTCAACATTTTTCGTCCGATTTAGACAATCAAGAAAAGACTTGATTATTATAAAATTATTTTGAACTAAAAATTTCATGTATCGGACAAAAAACTTTTTAATCAATAGTAAAACGTCGATAAATTTCAATAATTTCCAAAAAAGCTCCAAAAAGGTAATTTTTTAATTTTGAACGGCCGCTGTGGAAGTAATAATCACTAGATTACTAATAACGACATATTGCTGTAAAGAGGTCTGTACCTTTCTAAAAATGTATATCATTGCTTCATAACATCAACTTCCTCGGAGGTTTCGGTAAAAAACTGTAATAAGGGTGACAGGTAATAAGATCAACGGAAATAAGGTCAACTGACTTTATTTCCCACCCTGGTGCGAAATAAAGTCAATTGACATTATTACCTTTTCAAAAGCGAAATAAAGTCAACAAAAATTTGAAAATAAAGTCATTGACGCTATTTCCTGATTCAAATGGAAATAGCGTCAACAATGCTCAAACTATGTCGATTCATAGAAAAAAATGTTGTTCTTACAATAAACATTGCCCCGTAAGTGTTGTTTTTTAATAGGTGAAAAAGGTTATTGCCAAATCCTCAGTGTTGTGATATTAATCCACACACAATCATGAACTACCACCAATTGNGGGGGGGGGGGGGGGGGGGGGGGGGGGGGGGGGGGGGGGGGGGGGGGGGGGGGGGGGGGGGGGGGGGGGGGGGGGGGGGGGGGGGGGGGGGGGGGGCCGCGGCGTAGCGTGACGTGGTGTGGCGCGCTAACGCGGGCCGCCGCGGAGCTAAGCAAATTTAATGTTTGAAAGAGAAATAATGTCAATGGATTTTATTTCGTTTTTAAAACGGTAATAATGTCAATAAATTTTATTTCGCACCAGGGTGGGAAATAAAGTCAATTGACCTTATTTCCGTTGATCTTATTACCTGTCACCGAAATAAGACACGAAAAACACGTTTTTTGCGGAAATCGCGGAAACACTTCATGTGAAAAATAAATGAGTGTCATTTTCGTTTTCAGCGACCCCAAATTGTGCTATAGAAAGCACTTTTTTTATCGAGGTACTCGTTTGAAACTGAAAATTTGTAAACTAGTGTTATGGGTCGATCATCGATAGCAACCGAACTTCAGTTGCGTTGCTAGTTGCCGAAACGATATTACACATGGCAACTGGCAGCTGCAGTTGCTACAAAGTGTGTACTCAGGCAACTACATTTTTGTGGTTGCTGGGAAGGTTTTTGGAGGATGTTTAGGAGCGAAAATTGAGAAGTATGTCAAATATTTTATTTTTTAATAGTTTGACGATATTAACATTTCGCAATGTAGTTTGCACTTACAGAATATTATGAAAATAACAACAAAACACCAACTTGAATTTTTAGTTACCGTGGAGTATGCGCTTTTGGTGTAACAAAAACGAACACTGATTGAACATTTTTTCCTCTATCAACTGAAGCACCTCTTTCAAAACTACCGAAATACCAAATTTCCAAATTTAAGTCATTGCCGTTTGACTTCCTTTTGCGTAAAATTGAAGAGCTGCTCAAGCTTTAAGGAGCTTAGGTATTGAAGTTGAACGAAGTTGTTCCTCTGTGTATTAACCATCATGCCAGGGGCGTAGCCAGGATCTTATCTAGGGGGGGGAAAACAAAATATTTATTTATTTATTTCGAGTCTTTGATTTCCAAAATCTTACAGACTAAATAACAATTAATGAATTAAAAATTTACGAATAAAGAGTAAATAATGTTTTTTTTTTTAATTCTAGGCGATTAGCGAATATGTTGACATTATTGTCATTACATAAAGCATTGAACTCACTCATTACCCTAATAACTGGTTGATTCAGAGCATATTTGGTTTTAGAAAAATCAATCGAAAACAAATCATGTTGACGAAGCATTCTCATTGGAGTATTGAGTTTAATGAGATCTAAAAGGTCAGGACAGTCAATTGCTCGGCTCAAAACATCATGTAAGAAGATTAGGCCAGAAATAATCCGTCTACCGCGAAGTGTATGTAAGCATATACGTTTGCAACACGAAATATGTGGAGGAGAAGGGTTTTCAAACCTAATTTGGGCTAGACCGAATTTTAAAAAGCACTTCTGAACCCGTTCTATCCTCTTATGGTGAATTTCATAAGTAGGATTCCATATGAGAGAGGCATATTCCAGTTTAGACCTATCAAATATAAAATCTTTCTTGTATACGGGTCTTTGAATTGTTCACTATTGCGTTTAATGAATGCTAGCGAGGCTAAACCTTTGGGGATAATATAGTTTAAATGTTCAATAAAAGTGAAAGATGAATCAAATACAACGCCTAAATCCCTTATTTTGGAACTAGAGTTTAAGATTCGGTCGAATCCTACTGAAAAAAGTCTGATGAGGAAATGTGGTGATTTCCGAAATAGCTATCACTTCTACCATTTTTTCAAATTATTGTTGCTTTTCCACAATAAGTTTTCATTAAAAAACGGCCTCAAGCTCAATAAATATTGTTGAATATAATTGTTATAAGGCCATAAAATAACAAAAACAAATGAATAATTATAATATCTAAAACAAGCACTGGACTCGTTCGTGAAAATACCAAAAAACAAAGGACCTAATATGCTCCCTTGCGGAACTCCTGATGTTGCAATATAGGGGTAAGAGCTAACACCATCAACAACAACTTTATTTATTCTATTTGAGAGATAGGACTTGATCCAAGACAAAAAACTTGAGTGAAAACCAAAAAGGTTTAGCTTCTTAAGAAGTAGATT